TACAAAGGAAGAAACTGAAGCACACAGAATTCAAATAACTATCACAAGTCACACAGCATGTAAATATCAGAGCTATGATTTAAAGTAGGTTTCTAAAGTACCTGGTTCTGCATACCTAATGAGTATACAGCTGGGTTTTTGTGTGTCTCCAGTTAACCTAATGCATGGGTAAAAAGGCTTTGGGGTCAGTGGAATAAACCAAGGTTTATGACAGATTCATTCTGGGTTCTAAGCTGTTGTAGCATGGAGTCATGGAAATAACACTGGAATGTTAAAAGGTGACCTTCATTCTAGTCTGCACATTCTCAGTAGCCAGAAAGAAGACTGGATATGTCCCTTCCCTTGCTGGCTTCCATTTCATTCATTTATGAAATGAGAGACTCAGTGTTCTCTGTAGACAACCTTTTTTAGAATCACTTGAAGAATTTGTTTAAAAATGCAAGTTCCTGGGCTGCACTCTCAGACTAAGTGAATCAGAAGCTTTGGTGTGGGAAACCATTGAACCTGCACTTTTAATAAATGCCCCAGTGATTTGCATGTTGGAGAATCACCACACCAGGTCACTGGGCTCTCATTTGGTGGGGATGCTCCACAATTGGTTTTGGACTTGTGACTTCTTGGGTGTGACTAAAATAAGTCAGGTGGTGCCATGGACATCATAAATATAAATTATGTAAGTGAAGGCACTGCTTCAGTCAGGCTATAAAAGCTATTTTGAAAGAGGTAAGGAAAAAATAGGATTGTAATGAAGAAAATTTGCTTGTGATTGCAGGTTAAGCCTTCATTTGGAACTGCTTCTAGTATGTTACAAAAAGTAATAACAGCTAATCTGTGTCACTGACTGTACCTGGTACTATTTTAAGCACTTTATATACATTATCTCAGTGAATCCCATTGTGACATCTGGCTAGTTTTCATGGCTAAGAGTGCACTTTCTAGAACCATCAATGTTAGAAAACATTGTGGTCCCCACTTGAAGTTTCACTTTGCATGTTCAGTGATACGGTTTGGCTCTGTGTTCCCACCCAAATCTCATCTCAAATTGTAATCCCTATGTTTCTGGGGAGGGACCTGTAATCCCTACTTAATGACGGAGGGAGGTGATTGATGCTGGGTGTGGTGTACCCCATGCTGTTCTTTTGATAATGAGTGGGTTCTCATGAGATCTGATGGTTTTATAAGTATTTGAAAGTTCCCTCTTCACTCACTGTCTTGCCTGCTGCCATGTAAAACGTGCCTACTTCACCCTCTGCCATGATTGTAAGTTTCCTGAGGCCTCCCCAGCCATGCGGAACTTTGACT